TTCTAACAGGAAGAGAAATGTGTACACATTTTTTTGAGGACAGAAAGAACAGACTAGGAGAAGGGTCCGGTGGTTCTCCACCCTGGTGGCATATTAGAATCATCCAGACAACTTTTAGTAAATGCTGATGCCCAAGCCTGTGCCCAGAGATGGGGATTTCATTGGTCTGGTGTCTGGCCTGATCACTGACCATTTTTAAAGCTCCCAGGTGATTATAATGAGAAGCCAGGGTTGAGAATCACCAAATTAGACCTTTCACTCTAACGCTGATTGAGCTGTCTGACGGAGAACTGACAGAGTCTCAAATTCAATATTTAAAACAATCCTTTTACAAATCAATTATTTTATCAAAAATTATAGACTGAGCATGGCGGCTCATGCCTGTAATCCTAGCACCTTGGCAGGCTGAGGCAGGATCACTCGAGACCTAGATATTTGAGGTTGCAGTGAACTATGATGACACCACTGTACTCTAGCCCAGGCAACAGAGCAAGACCATGTCAAAAAAAAAAAAAAAAAGAAAGAAAGAAAAAGAAATTATATAATGCATGCATATAGTTTAAAAAGTCAAATGGCATTGAGGCTTGTGACTAAAATATAGCAGTTCCTTGTCCTACCCTCTCTATACATCCAATCCCCACCCACTTTTGACTCTATTTTTATAGAATTTACACATCTTCCTATATCAGAATGTCAGTGCACTGGTATGTTTTGCAAAGCTAATTAATTGTTGGTATCTTTTGCAAAGCTAATTAATTGCTGAACTTCATTTTTTCTACCCCCCCCAAAAGTACCTGAAAGCCCCCAGGAAAAGGTAAAATGGAGGAGGTGCCAAGTAATTAGAGCAGCAGGAGGCAGGGGAGATAGCTGGCCACTGGGTTCAGACTGGCCCGTCTGCTGAGCCTGAGCAGTTCAGAAGGCAGCTAAGAGAGCTTCTGCAAGCCCTACCTGCTCTCCCACCTCTTGGAAGGCTGAGGGGCTTTATCTGAAATTACAGCCAAAAGAATAAGCAGGGCACTGTGATTCACACCAGTAATCCTATCACTGTGGGAGGCTGAGGCGGGAGGATCCCTCGAGCTGAGGAGTCTGAGGTTACAATGAGCTATGATGACGCCACTGCAATCCAGCCTGGGAGACAGAGTGAGACCTTGTCTCTAAAATAAAAAAAATTCCACACATTCTCCTGGATTCAAGTCTTCCCAATCAAGTTCTCCTAAACTTTTCTAGAAGTTAAAAACAGTCTGAAAGTAGGTATATTCCCAAAGCAATTTAAAAATCCTTACAAAGGCAAGACTATATTGACAAGCACAGGACTGGCTCAGCCATTTTGGGAGCTGACTAGAGAGAAGGAGCTTTGATCTTATTTCTAATATACGTCACATACATTGGAAGGGAGATGTGATACGGAGACATTGCATGGATTCTGCTAGGGCAACAACTACTTCTCTGGCACAGTTTGGAAGGAGTTTGGTGCTATCATCAATATGTTTTTTTAACGTCATAGAATGGCCAAAAAAGGAGAGACTAAGTTTCACTCAGGGGGATGGTGAAAGTTTAATTAAGGAGGTGGGTATTTGAACAAGGACTTGGTTGATGAGTAAAGATCTCGAAGGCGGAGGGGACAAAAGGCTAGGAAAATGGAATAGGCACAGGCCAGGAGCCAGGGATGTGTGTGGGTGGCATTGGTGGTAAACTTGCCACCCAGGCTCCCCATAAACTCTGAGAGTTGGACTATAAAATTAACACCAAGTCATAACGGAAGAGATCAGGGATGTGCAAAGGCCCCTTAAAGACAAACTACTTTCCAGGCCAGTAGCAGAGTGTAAAGAGTATCTAGCCTAGTCGAGGGTACTCACATATGTGAAAAATGAATGTAAACAACATATATACATGTCACAGGGAACGAGCGGAAGGTTGGTGGCCAACCTGGAAATTTTAGAAACTAGGAGAGAGACTGGGCACAGTGGCTCAAGCCTGTAATCCTGGCACTCTAGGAGGCTGAGGTGGGAGGATCGCCTGAGCTCAGGAGTTCAAGACCAGCCTGGGCAAGAGCAAAACCCCAGGGGATGACAGAGCGAGACTCTGTCTCAAAAAAACAAAAATGAAAACAACAGAAATTCACCTGAGGCAGAGAATATTGAACAACTAGTCATCCTTAGCCTTCAAAATTTGCCTTAGCTTGTAAAACCTGACCTGTCTAGTCCTTGTGATGGAAACATCTTCATTTTAGAAATGATTGCAACCTCATTTTATAGATATTATACATATTGTAATACTCTAATATAGCCTGAAGATGTCTAAAATTTGAATCAGATTACCAGCTTCCCTTACTGCAAGGCTAAGCTCATATAATTTGCCTTCCTATGTTACCGCTGAATGCACTGATTAGCAAAAGCACCTGATCCCCTTGTGACTACAGTCCTCACTGTAAATTAACAGAGCGGCATTTTCATTTATGCATTGGTTCTTTGTGAGCTTGGTTAGCATAAAGCATCCTCAGGAGACTGATCTACACTTGGTGCAAAGAGTTCTGGATCTGTGAAGCTCGAGACCCATAGCCAGCATGAGGTGCCAGTTAAGCTGCCGCCCTTGAGACACCCAGTCAAGGTAACTAGTCTTGAGGGCACACTTTCAGCACCCCAAAATAGGCCAGTGAGGCTGGGGTGCATTGGAAACCCTGGGAGATGGAGGTATAATAAAGGATGTGGTTAGGAGAGTAAATCAGGCGTCATGGAAAGACTTGAAAATTGGTTTGGTTTCAAGGCTGCGGGGACTCACTGAAGGCACATTAGCAGCGGGTTTCATAAAATCCTGTTCTCTATTTGAGGAGACTCTCTCTGGTTGACAGGACGACAGCTGGATTGAGCTAGAAAAGCTGAAGTCCGGGGACCAATTAGAAGCCTGTTGTAATTGTCAGGGAGGAGGTGAGGGGGACGAGGAAAAGGACAGTGGCATCGCAAATACAGTGGAAGTATCAGCCCCAAGACACACTTCTGTGGCCCCAGGCCATACCGATGTGCCTCGACTTCCTTACTTGTAATATTAAAAAGGAGTAGCTGCCACCCATCTGGGCGAATGGACTCTGCTCTTCCTGGCTTCCTGCCTCATTTGTAATAATTTTCAGAAGGCTGCCCGCCTTTCATAAAGCAGGTAGAGGTGTTTAATAGCTCTTGAGGCAAAGCAGAGCTTAGGAAATTCCTCTGACTGGGCACGTTCTGGACTAATCCCAAACACGATATTCCTCTCCAGGCCTGCAAACTGCTGAATACTGTCTAGAATGATGTGACCGCCCCAAACACCAGTGGCCTGGCTGAACACAACCTCTGGTGCTCCTTGGGTCTCAGTTAATTCCATTGCTTTCAGCAGTGCAAGCTTATAGCGTCCTCTGTCCTCCCCTCTCCTGCATAGAATCGCTATATCTTTGGGCAGATAGCCACACTGGAACAGGCTGTGACATCTTTCTGCCACATAATTCGCTATTTGTTCTGTTGTCAGGTTAGTCTTTGTCTCACACACCCCAGGCAGAGCCTGGGCACACATTGCTTCCTCATAGGCAGCTTCCCTGAACAACGCCAATGTGTCTGGGGACATGTTGGAGGGAGGATTTTCTTTGATTCTCTTCATTTCTTCTTTCATGACCTTTGCTATCTCCAGAGAACAATGGATCCCATCGGTGAGTGTTTTTCGAGGAAACTGAGCAGATGGAGGGGGAAGACCACTGCCATCTGCATGATGGACTTGGAAAGGATCCAGAAAAATCCAGAGAACCCCACGGTGAAGGTTTTCACTTCCAGCCCCTCTCACCTTTGGATGGGTGATGTTCTTAGCCTTCATGTACCAATCACCATATTTACTGCAGAAATTCTCAGTCTCATCCATCACTATGTGTTTAATCTTTAGAAACTCCCCTTGCATGAAGGTTTTCCGGGTCACAGCTTGGCAGGTGGTTTGTTGGCTGTAAGGATGAAAGTGAGAACAGAGTTTTAGGCATATTAACAAAAGGAACACCAGCATCCATTACTCTCTGGATCGGAATCAGAGGCTAATTCTCATCTTCAGGCTGATTCATTGATTCAAAAGAGTTGTGAATACCACAAAACTGATCTGCTTACAAGTTACCTGACAGACAGAATGCATAAGTCTACACCCTTCTCTTTGGGGTTATCTAGTTAAATCTACATGTTGACACTTTTTATGTGAAACCAGGCAGGAGATTTTATTATTTCTATTAATAGTCCATCTCTGCTGCTTGACCATCCTTGAAGACAAGCTCTTTTCATCCTAAAGGAAATCTCAAAAGTAACTTACACTTTTAACGGCTCTTGAGGCAAAGCAGAGGAAAGGAAATCTCAAAAGTAGGTTACACTTGTTACTAGTATTTCGTTACTTTCTGTCCTTTTTAGAGCTGGAAAACAGTCACCAAGAGGCATATCATAATTATTATATGCAAAAGAGATAGGGGCTAATTCAAGTTCCTCAAAATCAAATTCTATTTCCCCACTTACATGTGATATAAAACCTAAAGCTTCTTTGGTTAGGTTTTGTAAGGGAAACATGAAGAAGTTGCTGAGTTTTGCTGAGTTCCATGGCATGACAAGTAGGGAGACAAATCTATAGGCCAAGTTCCCCGGAAACAACGCAATTAAAAAACAAAAATTTCCCAAAAACAAGGTTTAACAAGGAAGGAATCCTTTTCCCCTTCCTTTTTTGTTAGAGAAAAGGTCTCACTATGTTGCTCACGGTGGTCTCAAACTCCTGGCCTCAAGTGATCTTGCTACCTCGGCCTCCCAAAGTGCTGGGATTACAGGCATGAGCCGCCATGCCTGGCCATGTATTCTTTTCTTAACAAATTTAGTTGTTTCTTGCCTCCTCTAATTTGGATCCAAGTAATTCTTACAGATTCCCTGATTTTACCTATGTCATTTCTGGGACTTTACTCCCTAAGCCTTGAATCATAACTATTTATGTACTTCTCTTCCAGTTTGGACTGTGTGGACTCTTGAAGAAAAGCACTGATTCTTAGCCATCTTTGTGTCCCCCTCACATTAGGAGTTCAATAGATATTCATTGAATGAGTCTTTTGACTGGGATATTTTTCAACTTAGCTGTAAAACTTAATAAAGAATGTAGTCCTTAGCACAGTCCGTAGGATCCTTCATAATCCGGCATCTGCCTCCTTTCCAACGTCACCAGCTGCTTGTACCCACATTCCCTCGCTGCTCCAGTCAGACCTACCATTCTGGTTCTCTAGTGTCTCCATGGACTTGCTCTGCCCTTTGCCTAGAAAGCCCTCTTCATTTTATTGACTTCTTCTACTGACTTATTAGGAGTGTGCCCCAGGGTCTCCTTCACTGGGGAGTATTTACTGACCAATCTTCATCCTAAATTAAAATAAGTGTATCTTTACTATTATACTAATTATACAACACTCGCATTTTTTTTATGGCAAGGTCTTCAATATGTTTCCTCCTCTAACACTAAATGTAGCACAGTGTCTAGCTAGCATATAAACAGTGCTCAGTAAGATTCCTTGAAAGCCATATAAAGGACATGAGAAACCAAGAAGTGGGGAGGATGGGACGGTGGGTGTTGGATAAAAAGTTACCTATTGGGTACAATGAACACTATTGTGGTGATAAGCACACCAAAAGCCCTGATTTAAGCATACAAAATATCCATGTCACAAAACACTTACATCCCCTTAATTAATATTTTGAAATATTTTTTTAAACTGCAAAAAAAGATTCATTGAACAAGTAAACCAAACCAAAACCAAAATGATTTTGCCCTCATTTGCTGAATTATATAATGACCAATTTACTTTACTAAATTGAAAGCTAGAGATTTAAATCAGAAGCAAATTTGCATATTTTCTAAAATTATTGATGCAGAACAAGTCAAAAAATGAAAACATTTTATAAACAAAATCAGATCGTATTTAAATTCAAGTTCTGGCTAAGTACAATGTCTAGTTCACAGAAATACCCTATGACTTTAAGTATCATGCAAAAAGTATATTTAAAGCAAAATAGGTTCATTTCTACTTTTCTGAAATTTAAGGCCACAGATTGTGAAACAAAAAATGTTTCTAGTTCTATAAATTTAAAGTTATGACCAGGCACAGTGGCTCATACCTGTAATCCCAGCACTTTGAGAGGCTCAAGCAGAAGGATTGCTTGAGTTCAGGAGTTTGAGACCAGCCTGAGCAACAGACTCGGTCTCTACAAAAAAAATTTAAAAATTAGCTGGGCATGGTGGTATGTGCCTATAGTTCCAGATACTCAGGAGACTGAGGCAGGAGGATCACTTGAGCCCAAGAGTTTGAGATTACAGTGAGCTATGATTGCACCACTGCACTCTAGCCTGGGTAACAGAGTGAGATCCTGTTTCTAAAAAAAAAAATTAAAATTAAAAAAATTAAGTTATGCATACTTGGCTTATTTATAATGAGATGTTTAAAGTGAAACATTATACATTTTCTTTCAATTCCCTTATCATTTGGAAATGTGTATATAGTTGTGCTCTTGCACTTATGCAGCTAAGGCATTGGAAAAACTTAAACTAAAAACACAAATTATTTTTATGACACAGTTGAAAAGACTGACTAAATTTTTGTGTGTGTTTAGTTGATAAAACTCTTACATCACAAAATCCTTTAGGGAGTCGCTTTCACAAACATAGAGGATCTCTTTTGGTTTGCAGTGGAACAAATCCTTAATTTTCTCCATGATTTTTATGACTAGGGCTGTCTTCCTGGTTCCTGGAAAGCAGTGGATGAACAATTCCCGCATGTCCTGGAGGCTCTCAGAAAGCAACTCGCCCTGCTCCGCTACGAGCAAGTTGAAAAATTCACAGCCCAGCTGGTCACTCAGAAAAGATCTGGAGCACAGGGAGACCACCACAAGGGCCTGCAACAAGTCTTCCATTTCATCTTCATCAGCAAGCCTGTAGGATTGGGGGTAGTGCACAGGGATCTCACCAGGTCTACACTGTGTGCTGGTCAGGTGTATCAGCTTTGGAATGATGCACACTTTTCCTGTGTAACCACCAAGAGTTTGCAGTTTCTGCTTTAACTGATGAGCAGTGTTTCGGGCATATTCAAGTCCTCCAAGCCAACTGGGGTCTATCAGGATTGTATAGAGAACCAGGGGGCTGTTAACTGCTATTAGGAGAGCGTCGCACAGGATGTTCTGTTCTTCCTTTAAGCCAACATCACCAGCCCAGCTTCTAGAAAATATCACAATCCCCTGAGAACAAGGATATATCTGTGTCTTCATTAATTCCTCCAGTCCTTCATGATCTGAGAATAGCTTCTGACAGAGGGACTCTGGTTTAAACTGTATCTCTTCCTGTGTCACTGAAAATTCAAGGAAGAGAAGTTACCAGCACTTACAAAAGTTTATGGTAAGTACTCCTGCAACATCGCAGGAAGAAATTATTCTGGCCGTGAACTGTGGGTTTCCTTGTTTGCAAAGAGAGCACCCTGTTTTCACAGCCCTGGACTACAATCAGAGGTTCCCATTTCTGGCAGCTTTAGTATAAGAGAAGGGAGGGGTCTTCACAGAATAGCCTTCTGGCACCCTCTCCTCAACGCCAGATGGTCCACTACTGCTAGGAAGGCACTCCTTCCTGCTAGGGGTTTTCTGTGAACCTGATGCTTTCGGGAAACTGAGGGCTTTCCTTTAGAACAGTGGTCCTTAACTAGCAGCAATCCCCCGACTCCTCCACAATCCTGGGGACATTTGGCAATGTCTGGAGAATTTTTGATTGTCACCACTGAAAGGTTGCTACTGGCATCTAGTGGGTAGAAACCAAGAATGCTGCTAAACATCCTACAATTCACAGGGGACCCTCCCCAAACAGAATTATCTGACCCAAATGTCAATAGCACCAAGGCTGAGAAAACCCACTTTAGAAGGAGTTCAGGTGACCCAATGGCTCCTTCTGCATTGAAAACTCAGCACTCTCAAATTTGGAGAACTAAAGCCATATGTGACTGGAAGCTCAAAAGCACACAGAAATATAGTAGGGATCCGATAACTAGGAAACAAGATTCAGACACGTACATTATTTTAGGACCATTATGTCTGCTGAGTTCTACATTTGACCTTCTCTAAGGAGAAAGACTTGAACTAATTGCTACCAGTACCTCCCAACTTAAGTTTTGAAAATAAATAGTCCCCTCAGCTGAAATCAAGAGGAAATACCTGGAAACGAATGTTGTTGCAGAGCCTCCTTAAATTCCAGGACTTTTACAGGATATCCTGGGCTGCTTGGTGCAGATGAAGCTGCTGAAATCAGTTGAGAGCTGTAGCGTGTGGCCAAACTGGAGGAAGCTAAACAATTACATGGAAAGTTGTTTCAGACAAAAAATAAATGGTAAAAGAACACTTTGTTGCTCTTCGTACCTGTGTGTGCAAGGCGCCTGAGCTGCTGTCACACTTACTATGCCTCAAACAGTTCCCATATGTCAGGAGAGGAAGTCTGGGAACTCCTGCAGGGGTCACACTGTGCATATTCTAAGTCACTGTGTGACTCGGCTTGGGCAAGTCATTTCACCTCTCTCATGCAAGAATGAGGTAATGGTCTCTAAAGTTCCTTTCAACTCTCATAGTCTGATTCCAGGCTATCTCTAAGAAAAAATGGCATCTCGTGGGGATCATCCAAGTTAGTTAAGATCAGTGTTTTATTTTTATACATATTGTTACAGCTGCTGTTTAAGTCCCCATCCAAGGTTAGCTGGAATCAAAAGCAGCAGGATCTCTAGTCTGGTGGGGGGAGAGGGAAAGGAAGAGAGAGGAGAGAAGTGAACTCAAATTCAGGGAAAGAAAAGAATGATCCAATAAAATTCTCTAATCTCTCAAGTCTTTTTTCTCTTTTTTTTTTGAGACAGAGTCTCACTGTGTTGCCCGGGTTAGAGTGAGTGCCGTGGCGTCAGCCTAGCTCACAGCAACCTCAGACTCCTGGGCTCAAGCAATCCTACTGCCTCAGCCTCCCAACTAGCTGGGACTACAGGCATGTGCCACCATGCCCGGCTAATTTTTTCTATATATTTTTAGCTGTCCAATTAATTTCTTTCTACTTTTGGTAGAGACGGGGTCTCGCTCTTGCTCAGGCTGGTCTCGAACTCCTGAGCTCAAACAATCCACCCGCCTCGGCCTCCCAGAGTACTAGGATTACAGGCGTGAGCCACCGTGCCCGGCCTGATCTCTCAAGTCTTGATCCAAGCTTCTTTTGTCAAATTGGGACCACACTGACCATGAAAGCAAGTTGATAAGCTTAGTTCAGCCTGTATGTCCTTTATGGATTCATTAGAAATCACCAAGGCTGATTCCAAGCAAAACTGCAAGGGAAATGAAAACATCAGACGTCCTCCTCCCTGTCCCAATATCTCCTTTTTCATCATTTTCGCCCCAAGCCAGGTGGTTTAGGTATTAGCTTCTAACATTTGTCAGCAATGTTTCTCTTGAAAGAATTAGTGGAGAGTCATTCTTAAACCATGTTTCTCTGAAATATCTTTTTTTTTTGGAGACAGAGTCTCTCACTCTGTTGCCTGGGCTAGAGTGCAGTGGTCTGATCATAGTTCACTGCAACCTGAAACTCCTGGGCTCACATGATCCTCCTGCCTCAGCTTCCCAAGTAGCTGGGACTACAGGCATGGGCTGCAACGCACAGCTAATTTTTCTAATTTTTTGTAGAGTTGGGGGGATGGAGGTGGTCCTCGACATTGCCCAGGCTGGTCTCGAATTTCTGGCCTCAAGCAATCCTCCCGCCTTGGTCTCTCAAAATAAGATTGAAATCCAAACATTTCTTGACCTCAAAGAGTTCCTATTCTGAGTGGTCGGAAGTAAAGATATTAGAAAAGAACCCTGCAATGGGAGAACATTTGTAAGCAAAACCAAATTTCTACTTTTTAACTAAATACATGACTGAATACCCACAAAAGGCAGGGAAAGGGGCTCCTCCCTGCTGACTGGGTAATGATGTCACTCTCTCCTTACCTGACCGAATATCCAGCATCATGACCACCCACTGCTCAGCTGTCAGCCTTGTGACAGAATTGTCTTTCATGATCCAGGAATCTGGGGCCTGTGCGAACACTACACAACAGAAGGGCTCCACTTGAACCACACAGACATAACCATACAGAACATCTTTCTGGTACACATTCAAGATTTTGGTAGTGAAATTCACCTTTGGCTTCTTATGGCAGAAATGGAATGTAGGCAATTTTTCTATGCAGTTTTCTATTTCTTTTTTTAATAAGTCAGGGTTCACTTTTTCCCACTTACATCCAAACACTTCTTTGCTCTTATCATCCACCCCGATAATTAGGTACCCTCCTTGAGTGTTGGCAAATGCAGAAATATAATGAGGCAGCATTTCTTTAATCCGAGGTACAACCTTTTTGGTGGTGAACCTTTTAAACTCAACGTGTGTTGACTCCGTAAAGTTGAGTTTCTCCTTATACATGAGTTTGTCTCTTTTAAAAAATTCTGAGGCAGATATCTTCATATCTTCCTCTTCCTGAATGACTCTGTGGAGAACTTGCCGAGACTGCAGCTCCTTCACCCTTGGCCTTTCTCTTTGGCATCTAGACTCCTTCTCTCTGAGAAGCTGCAGCGCACCGGTGGCATTCAAGTTGATAGCGGAAGTGACATCTCTCTGATATATATTGGAGCGCACGCTGCAAATCCTTAGTGGGAGGCTGAAAACATCTGGGCTCCACGGCTTCACAAAAATCAGGAGACTGTGCCTCTGCTGCATGTAATCAAGGTATTTCTGAGAAACTGAAGGAAGGAGCTTTTGAAAAGAAGTTTCCAAATCCTGTCCCAGCCCATGGCATCGGTAACTATAGGTTTTATCATCAATCTCTGCTTTGATCACACCCCCTCCAGAATTTAACAGTGCACATATAGCCTGGATGATTTTGGAGTTCTCAGATCTTTTCAAGTAGCTATTGGTCATCTTCTTCCTGTTTTCTTCTCCAAAAGTGACTCTGCCCACTTCTACTATAATCTCAGGATACGCCATTTCTGTATCAGTCTTGGGACTCTCCATCTCAGCAGCCCCTCTGTGCTCCAACAATAACAGAAAGGAGTTCCTATAATCAGAACAGAAGTGTTGTTTCTACATTAACAAGAATTCCAGAGATTACAATATTATATTTTCTTCAAAGCTATCAATTACTGGAAATATATTTTAACATTGGAAATCACCTTTAATAGTACTGTTTTCTAACCACTTTGGCAAATATCCTTAGCCTTTCCAGCATGAACAGACATAGATAAAGGTGAATGCTTAATATTTTCCCATAACGGAAAAATTGCAATGCTGAATTTTTCAGCCATTTTCCATTTAAGATCAAGAAACACCAACATTGAAGCCAGGTGTGAGGGGTCACTCCTATAATAATCCCAGGACTCTGGGAGGCTGAGGCAGGAGGATTGCTTGAGCCCAGGAGCTGGAGATCAGTCAGAGCAACAAACCAAGACCCTGTATCTACAAAAATTAAAAAAGGCCAAGCGTGGTAGCTCACATCTCTAATTCTAGCACTTTGAGAGGCCATGATGGGAGGATCGCTTGAGGTAAAGAGTTTAAGACCAGTCTGGGCAACAGTGAGACCCCATCTCTACAAAAAATAAAAAATTAGCCAGGTGTAGTGGCACGTGCCTGTAGTCCCAGCTACTTGGGAGGGTGAGGCAGGATCATGTGAGGCCAGGAGTTTGAGGTTTCTGTGAGTTATGATGATGCCACTGCACTCTGGCCTGAGCAACAGAGTGAGACTCTATCTCAAAAACAGAAAATTAAAAAATTAGTCAGTCATGGTAGTGCATGCCTGTAGTCCCAGCTACCCTGGAGGCTGAGGTGGGAGGATCACTTGAGCCTAGGAATTCAAGTTTACTGTGAACTATGACCATGCCACTGAACTCCAGTCTGGGTGACAGAGTGAGACCCTGTCTCTAAAAAAAAAGAAAAAACAAAGCAAAACACTAACATTGGGCCCAGAAAGAAAGGACATGGGTTGGCGAAGGAGCCAAGGTAAGTTATTAGAGAATATGCAAAAGGCAGGAGATGCTGTTGTTCATGATGCAAAGGGGAAAGAAAGGAAGGCGCTAGAGAACTAAGGAAGTACAGTTTTGTAGGTGTGTCCTGTAGAAGATCTTGCTTAAAAACAAATGTGAATTTTGGTATTTTTATGTGCTATTTTAGACATTTTGAAAAGTTTTATTCTACTCCTGAAAGAATGTCAATTGATATCTAATTCATAAATCTTTTTAACTCTTCCCATGTTCTTCTAAATTTTAAAAGTACATTTCTTTATAAACAGTGTGATGTGGAAGCAGGAGTTTTCCTTCTCTCCTAATAGGTCTACCCTGTGCTGTGGGAATCTCTAAGACTTGGAAAAAAATGTGAGCTTTTGAGGCATGGTCATCAAACTATGGTCAACCCTTCTTTTGCTTCATAGATGAGAGAATAGCCTCTTAAATTGAAATTAGAGCTCCGAAGCAAATAATTCAGAAAGGATCCCCTTACCTTTGTTTAATTGCATAACAAAATATTTACTAACTCAAACCAAAATTCTTCCTCTAGAAGGGAACCCACCTCTTCTCTGCTTTGCAAAGCAGGAGCCCTGTAGGTGTTGTATATACTCACCAAGAGGGAAAAAGCAGGCATCCGGCAGGGTGTGCACACTCTTCTGATGACAGTTTGTTCTTGGTTGTCTTCTCACTTCCTTCAGGAAAACAAGAATTGTTTTTTCATAGGTGAGCCTCTTCTAGAGGTAAATGTAAATGTGGTATTTTATGGGAATTTTCTCATGACATTCTATTTATATCATAGAATCACAGAAGTGTTGGAAAGGACTTTAAAGATGTTCCAGTCCAACAATCTGAATCTTAAATCGCCTCTACAATATTCCCAACTCCCAAAAAATTGCTATCTGAACCTCCAATGATGAGCAACTCAGTGTCTCTCAAAGTTGTCCTTTCTATTTTCTGACAGCTCTGTTAGAAATGGCTTCCTCACTTTCAGCTGCAATTTGTCTCCCTATGACTTCCACTGATGGGACCCACAGAACGAATCTAATTGATTTTGGACTAGCAGACCCTGTGGTCTCATTGATATTACTCGAGTGTTGATAATAGCTATGATAAATACAATATTTTCTGAGATTCTAGCTCTAGAAGAACATCCTTTCCACACTTCCCGGAAGGTTTTACTCATTTTTCTTTACAAGTTTTTCCTTAAATACTATTTTACTAAGCCCTTCATGCTCTCAGACATAAGCTGTCCCTAAAATGAGATGGATGAGATTTTTTAAAAGAATTTTTTTTTACCTACGCTCTTATGTTTCCTCTTGCTGCTTCAGTTCCACATCTGGCTCTAGTCTGAGTGTTTGTCTTCTGTCACAGCCCCTGCTGCCCTTTGATATCGGCCTGGGAGGAGCAGGAACTCTGCCAGACTCCCCCAGCCTTCATAACATTGACCCACTGAGGAAGACTGATAAGGACTCAAGAAGTGCCTATGACAGTGCAGATTAGCAGGCCAGGGTCTGAACTCGGGGAGTGAATGAGGTAGCGATGGGAAAATTCAGGGGTTTCCAAGCAAGAGGCCAAAGTTAAACTTAGCACTGCTAAGGGACGGAGCATCATTTCCATATATCATCCATGCACCTTCTGCCCTGGTTAATTGTTTGCAAAGCTCTACGTTTATTTTAAATTTGGAAGTCTGGTACATATTCATTGTGAATAATACTAACCTACCTCATTACCTTCCAAACGACTTGTTATATTCTGTTTTTATTCTTTATCCTGCTTTTCCTCTGTGATGGACATAAGACCCAGACTAGAAAAATGCTGATAGAGTAGGAGCTGGCTATCCCTGGGTGGGAGGATTACAGATGATAGTTTATTTAATTTATTTTTCTTCCCTTTCTTTTTTTAACTTTTCTGTATTTTTAAAAATGCTTTATAATGAGCATGAATCACTTTTATAATTAAAGACAATTAAATGGTAAAAAAAATAAATAGACAAGAGTCAGTTATCTGATGCTGACTAAACTGGGTCAAGCTTCTTATAGTAGGCTAAATAATGGCCACTTATTATTATTACTATTATTATTATCATGGAACCCATAAATGTTACTTTATAAGGAAAAGGGTCTTTGTAGTTGTGATTAAGAATCTTAAATTGGGGAGATTGGGATTATCCTGGATTATCCAGTGGGTCCTAAATCCAATCACAGTGTTTTCATAAGAGAGACAGAGAGCGATTTGATATACACAAAAGAGGAGGCAATGTAATCATAGAGGCAGAGATTGGAGTGACGCAGCCACAAGCAAAGGAGTGCCAGCAGCCTGCAGAAGAGACATGGGACAGATTCTCCCCTGGAACTTCTGGGGAGAATATGGCCCTGCAGACACTTTGATTTTGACCCAATGAAACTGATATTGAACTTCAAGCTGTAAAAGAACTATAAACATTTTAAGTTTTAAACTGCTGTTTTAAGTCATCAAGTTTGTGGCAATTTGTTAAGGCAGCCACAGAAAAATAATATACTTCTCTTCCTCTAAATCAAACCAGCAAACAACTCTGTTTCTACCTCCAACTGTTTATGATGAAATGACATCCTTAAATATATCTCTGAGCATCTCTATTTTTGTTGCTGTTGTTGTCAGCTGAGGCTACTGGCCCTATGACATCCTGCTTTATTGAAATTACTGTTGTACATGTTTGCTCAAATGGAGTTTCCAGGATAGGAGGCAGAATGGATACAATGGTGTATAATCAGCACAGCTACACAACAAGCTCCAAAGGCCTGCTATCAGCTTTGACTTTAACCCGCTTTCATTCATGTCATTTCTGAATCCAGTCCCACTTTGAGTCCTCCTATGTAGCTTAACTCTCAGCCTCACTTTCACATTGAAATCCCTCTGCTATGACTTACTTTGAGAAGGATAAAAATGACCACCATTTACTGGCAATGTTCTTACTGGATGCAAGGGACCATGCTGGGAGCTCTACATACTACATGAAAACTGAGATTACATGGCCAGTAAGTAGAAAAGAGAAAATTCAAAACCAGTTCTGTCTAATTCAAAGGTTCCTATCCTTTCATTGCCTTTTTAGTTTGGGATTCTGGATTGCTTGAGAGCCTTCAAAATCAGAAGTCTCCCTAATTACCTCCCCTTTTTCTTCCCATTAAACATGAATAACATAATTTGGGCAGGAGAACCAGGAACTAAATTGCTGTTCCCTTCTTATTCTTCTGGGGACCAAATCAGGAGAAGGGGGGTAAAACTAACGTGGAAGATGAGCAATGGGGTTTCTTTTCCTTCTTTAAAACCCCTTAGTAAAGTCCCCTAGATATGAATAGTTAGGTTGTCAGGCCAGGGAGGACCTCACATCTTGGCTTCGACATCTCTAAAGCAAATGTTCCAAATGCAAAACAGCTTGAAATCAGCAGCTTGGACAGTGCTTTCTCCTACATCTTAGGAAAGTTTTATGGCCATACTGCTGATGACTGGCTAAGAACCAGAACCCTCAATTTATTTAAGATGTGTTCATTCACTAAGCATTTCGGTTTATCAGCAGTGGTAGTAATGTGCAGCCTGCATGTTTACCAGACACAAACTGTCAAATACAAGCCGAAGGGGAAAGGTTGGTCTCAACCCTCATGTGCCTCCATCTCACATAGAAATGATTCAGAGCATAAATAGCATAGTGACCAAGAGCAACAGTCCTGGTTCTACCATGCTGCCACTACTTAACTCTGGATAAGTTTCCTCTCTTTCATTCAGTCAGCTATTTTGGAGTTCCTCAGGTGTTCAAATTCTAGCTGTGCCACATTCTAGCTATGAGACTTTGCTTAAGCTATTCTAAGCCTCAATCCCTTCTCTGTAAATTAGAGATAATACTAGTGCCTTCTCCACAGAGCACTTGTTAGAATGAAGTGAGATAATACGCAGAAAATGCTTAACATGGTGCCTGGCATATAATGTCAGCTTTTCATTCAATAATCAGTTATTGAGCACTTACTATGTTCCAAATATGATGCTATGCTCTGGGACTACACATCAA